ATATATATATAGGCTTAGGTGCAGCACAAAAGTAGCTTAGGAAAAGGATTTTAGCACTTCAAATCCATAAGGAAAAGGTCAGCCATATGGCAGAAACCAAAGCGGAAAAGGGGAGAGAGGTGCGGCAGGCTTCTAGACATTCTAGAAAGGGTCCAGGCGCCAGATTTTTAGGAGATGAGATAAGGCTTCTAGAATCATATTTTTATGTGTCCAAGTCTGACCCTTTTGGAGCTGGAATTAAGGTGAAAAAGGATTAGGATATGATAAGACAAGTTGGATAAGATAAGGATAAGATAAGGTTAGGATAAGGTTTGGATAAGATAAGGCAGTTTGGATAATATCTCCTTTTGAGTTGATTCCTTATCTTCAATGTCTTGAATTAATTTCTTCAACTCTTTAGCACATTCCTAGCCTCTCTTGAACTTCAAATTTGGCCATCCACCTTGCTCCACGCATGTGATATCCATTCCAAGCTCAAAACTGCTCTAAAATGCTCCAAATTGCACTTTCTTGCCACTTTTGCCATTTAACCCTACAAACACACGAAAATAGCTTAAAACACTCTAATAAGTAGAAACTAGCTATAAAAATGCAAGAAAACAAGCTAACTAAGTCGCATAAATATGCTCCTATTAGCTAGCTATTTTCCTCTAGGGTGACCGGTCTCCTAAGAGAAGAGAGAGCTTTGTGTTCTCATCTTTTCTTACTAGAAACCCTTAATGAACATTTGGCTATTAAGTCCTTTATATAGTCACTTCACTTAAGTGACAAAAAGAACCAAAACCCATTCATTTACAATATGGCCGGCATTCTAAAGGCTTTGGGCTGCTTGGACTCTTTTGAGTCTTTAATCATTAAGTTGTCATACAACTTAAGTTAATGGGCTTAACGGTTCTAAGCCCAATGGGCCTTGAGGTAGTATAATTACTTAAAAGCTAAAACGAACTTATTCGTTTGATTAATTAACATATTAATTAATCCTAGCCATATATAATTAAAGCATTTAATTATCTTTACTCATCTCTGTTTTTTCTTTAATCTCTACCTTACACAATGTACGATCCATTAGGTTCCTTTTAGCGAGGCAGTGGACAATTAGAACTCTTCAAATCGATTGTGAATTGAAACATACTTTCAATTCTCCCTTTAGTGATTATACACCTTTAGGGCTTCCACAAACTATTAGTGATTATCATGGCTACCCAAGCTAATCAGAAAAGGTGGAGAACTATTCAGTTTAGGATTACAATGTAATGCGGTCTTTCTCTAATACAATACTCTTTACCATATTGTTTGGTTTGATAGTTTATTCATGTCTACTATCCATTGTGATTCATTTACTTATATGATTACCTTGAATGTGATTTGGAACGACTTCCTAAATCTCATTCATACTCTAGCTAGAGATTCCTAATCATATCATAGAGTATTCTCCCTCAAACGGTTTGAAGGTTAGAGATCACTTGTTGTGCATTCACTTGCCTCCATGGCTAAGTGGCTTATCCCCAACCATGTCGTGGACACCCTTTGATGGAGTGACATTGACATAGGCAAATATCAAGGACCTAACCACAAGATAACTATGCTGCCTTATGTCAAATGACTACTTTGCATTATCCCAACCATGAGTTCTCATGTGACATGAGTATGAGAACTCCTCGTTGATCGCATTTAGTGGACTCATTCTCTATTGAACACCTACATACTTGTCTTGGTGTCATTCACACCAATGACTCGAGACCAATCACTCTCTCTAAGAGAAGACATAGCACGTACTGATTTTAACGGACTGTCAATACCTAATTGGCAATCTTATGATCAGGAACGTTTAGGATATATATACGAAAAGGAATGGTCTCATGAATCTAACTTCTTTAGATCGCATTCTCCCAATTACATATTCCTTGGACTTATTGTTTAAGCATACAACATTTATATGAGACAACTTTAAACAATAATCTTTGCCTTTTATATTAAACTAGATTAGTTTAACATGTGAAATGTCCGTAAAGTATCATCATATGATTGGCTTTTAGGGCACATTTCCAACAATTATTTGAATGTTATTATTAATATTTCATGTTATATTACATAGGCGACGATGATGGAGAAGAGGTAGTTGGTTCTTCAAGAGTCCACCTCCTAGCTTCCTCCAAAGACTCCGCTCGAGTCTATGGATCCCACCAATTATGCGAGGTTTCAGATCCTTACAGAGACCTTGGATCAGACTCTCGAGCGGAGGCCGGGGACGTATTGTAAGGGGATAGGGAATGCCCGGCGACGAGAACCTAGAGCCTCTTCATCATCGCAGTCAAAGAGTGAGGTGACAGCTTTGACAGTAGAGGTGGCCAACCATAGAACTGACCTCGCCTTGTATAAGAGCCAGATGTCATTGATTGTACAGGCCCTCGGTAAATCCGACATTCGTCTCCTAGATCTTCGTCGCCCATCGACATCCAAGCCCCTCCAACCCGAGCATGCCTAAAACTCTACCCTTTCGACCTCTGACCCTATCCCTAACCCCAAGACATTCTTGCCCCAAGATTTCCAGCCGCCTCCAAATGACAACCCCGTAGATTACTCCGCATTATTTTCTTAGTTTTTAACTCTCTTACTTTTTAAACATTTTCCTAGTACATACATTTTATATTTATTTAAATAAATTATTTTTCTCTTCATTACATTTTTTAATTGTAATTTTATTTTATTATTTTATTACAAAATTAAAAAAACAGAACAAAAATATATATTTTTCTTTTTACACGATGAATATCTTCGTCTCGCAAAATTCTAGCGACTAACAAGATTTCATCGCACAAGAATAACTTATTGTCACACAAAGTTTCTAGAGACAAATATTAGTCGTCCCATGTTTGTATCCTGGTATTTTGTGCGATGAACACATTCATTCCTAAAAATTTTGTGCAACAAAGGCTAAATCGTCGTGCCGTGTTCTTGTACTAACTATATTGTTCGTCGCACAAAGTTTTTCTTCATGATCTTTGTGCGACGAAGTTTCCGTCATGCAGACGTTTGTACGACGGAAATACACTTTGCGCAACCAACTTTTGTTTGTCGCACTAATAGTTAAAAGTAGTGGTGAAGGCAAGGTTGCATAAAGGTAAAGATGCTCTGTAGACTAGGTTTAGGAATTGACTTTTGCGCGGTACTTTGTAAGAATCTTGATTATACTAGTGGATTGGACTCAGTGGAGAGTCCCTGGTTTTTTAACCCAGAGATGGGTTTTTTCGGCCAAAAATATCTTGTTTTCAAAATTATTTATATTGTGTCACATATCTCACATACATATACATGCTACATGTATTACTTGAATATTTAATTGGTATGTGCTCACAATCATGCTCACTTGACACATTAATAATTCAGAACAAGCTGAGGCCTTGCTGACTAGGATAGCTTTTGGTATTTGAAATTGATTATTGAAACTTTGATTTATTGACTTACAAATCTATCTTAGTTGACTAGCGGGCTTGACTAGTCAGTCCAGCAGATTATAAAATTTATATACAGGATATTCCGCCTAGTACCAATTTCAAATATGCATTAAGAAAACCTAACCATCAAAGTTGCATGTGTTAACTCATAAGTAAGTGGTAGAACTGCGTAGATTGTTAATGGCGGCAGCTAAACCCTATTGCCTTTTTCATTTGATTTTGCTAAAAACTTTTCCTGAAAATCTGTTTTAATAGTTAATTAAGGATTAGTTTAAATATAAATATTCAGTCAATCTCTGTGGAGAACGACCTTACTTGAGCCATTTATACTACAATTACCTTGTTCTCTTGTAAGTATTTGTAAGTGTTTTTATCTCTACTTTTGCAGGTGGTAAAGATCTTATCAAAAAATTGGTGCTACTGATGGGAATTGTGCGAATAATTTGTGTTTATCGTATTCTTAATCTCTCTGTTACCTACATGTTTATGTGGTGATTTTCATACTCTAACCTAGGGTTTAAAGCCCGTTAACTCTCTATGCATGTCTGCCCTACTCCAGCGACGAACTCCGGTGAAAACCGTTGAGTTCAACGGCGGCTAGGGGGCTTTTTCCTCTTTTATGTGTTTACTATTGCGAAACTTCTAACTAATTTGTGTCCCAAGTGGGGAGGTTGATAAGTGAACTTTGTAGCGGCTTTGGATTTACTAGTTAATGAACATTTTTGTTCAAATTCTTGCACATCATAAATATCTTATGATGGCTTTGTCATTAAGTTGGCTTGTGACGTCATCTCACAATAGGGTCATATGGTCAATTTAGTGTCAGCCAACCCACCACGTCCTCGTAACTTGTGTTATTGGATTCGGGTTGTGTCATAGACCAGTTTTTAGATTTTTCGAACACATTTTAGTGTGCATTTAGCATTCAATTGCATATAAGTATGCATTACATTGTTTATAAAATTGTATAATAATTCATTGATTTTCTCTGTGATTGAATATAGCAATTATACCCTCTCTTTTTTTCCAATCCTTTATTTCTAATCAAATTGAAAATCTAAAATTAAATGGTTAACAACTGGGCCCATTACTTAAAGGTTTTCAATATTTTCCATTTGGAAAAATGAAACTTATTTGGTACCCTTTTTTCAAATAGAAAGAAAAACATAAACATTAAATAATATAAGATCCATTCATTTTACATATGAGACAAATTAAGAGATGTATCAAGGTGCATTAACAACAACAACAACAAAGGCTTATCCCACTAAGTGGATTCAGATATATAAATCTTAGAAGGCCACTGCGCTCGGTTTTGTGCCACATCATTCGTTAGATCCAAGTAATCCAACCCTTTTCTTAAAGTCTCTTTCCAAGTCCACCTAGATCTTCCTCTACCCCTTTGGTCTTGAGGTTCTATCTCGTAATCGCATCTTCTAACCAATGCATCTGCAGGTCTTCGTTTCAAGTATACAAAGTTCATTTACAAAATCAAAATTTTAAAACAGATGTATTACATTCCTGCTAGTTTGGAAATTCGACCACTTGGAAATTGCACTTTGCCTTGTGCCAACGCTTTCTATTTAACATGAAAAATGAAAAACAATAAAAAGTTAAATGTAGCAGTACACAATATTGTTGGCTAATCCGAACCACGAGAGGAGTGGTTGCTAATTACAAGTGTAACAATCAAAGCATCCTCTCTTGTGGAAATACGGTAACTATCGATCGGGTTTCGTTAACTGACAGTTGAATCGGCCTTACCTAGCAGACATGACTTTGCCTCTACTACGTATTTCCTAACACTCTCAAGCTCTTCCTCCATCTTTTCTGATAACAAGCATGGATGAGACCTTGTCTCCAACAGCTGCATTGTCTTCTCGGCCGCTAAAACCCTTTCTTTTCGCAGCTCTTCCAACTTTCGTAACTCAGTCTGCAAGTCTTCCTCCAAAATCTTTGACTCTGCCTCCTTCAAATCCGACTCACACAAATTCTGCTGGTACTCAACGACCAGGCTTTCAATTTCAGTCTTTCCGTCATCTCTTACTTCCAACAGCATTTCCTTCTCTTTTAACACATTCTCAAGTGTAAGTTCCATCTCTTCCACCGACTTCACAGCTTTCTGCATTTCCACTTGTACAGCTGCCATCTCACTAACTACCTTATCCGACTTCCTGTTTAGATCCTCAAGTTTCCTTCTCCCGACTCCAAGAGTTTCTCGACATTGCTTCATCTCCGTCTGCAGTTTAGTTTTCTCTTCCGCAGACTTCAGTAACTCGGTAGCTTTACCTCCCAAATGCCAATTTTTCTGTGAGGGGTCTATCTTCTCAACATTATCTATCGCAAAGAGAACCTGTTCATTCTCCTGTTTTCGGTTTTCATCCTCTAGCTTTGACTTCAGGCATGCAAGACTTTTCTTTAGTTCGACTTCAGATTGTTGCATTTTCATCTGTTCGGTAGCTATTTCATCCTTTTGTGCTTGTAGGCAGACCAATTCCCCTTTCTTTTGGTCCAGATAAGCTGTCGAAGCTGCTACCCTTGATCTTGCCCGAGCTTCTCGTTGCTCAAAGTAAACTACTGAGGAAGAAAAGTTAGATAAGGAGTACTTGAGAGCTGACAACTTTTTGTCAATCAGATTGCTATTTTCTTTCACTTTTGCAGAGAGGAGTTTATATGATTCGAAAAGCTGCTGCTTGACCTGAACTTCATTTTCCGTTACTTCAATTTCTCTTGAGAGTTTTCCAACCTCAAAAATTAATTTCTCGATGGAACCAAATAAGGCAACAACAGCTTTTGCAGAATCTAGAAGCTGTTCATCTGCTTTTTCCAGATTCATTCTGGCCAAATTGAGATCTTCTGAAAGCTTTACTGTGGTGAGAACTGATGTGTCCAGTTCCATGTCAGACGCAGTTCCAACATCAACCTCATTTCCAGAATCCCCTTCAGTGTTAACTGTGCATATACCGGCGGTAACAAGCACAGATTTCGACCCACCACTTTCAATTTCCGCTTTCACTTCATCAGATATATGGCCGAGCCCAGCTTGCGCATTCAATCCAGACAAACCAGATTCCTCCATTGAGACTGCTCCTCCATCAGAACCAGAAAGACTATTATTGCCAATAAAATTCTTTCCCTCCAGAGACATAGGAGATGCAAGCATCCTTTTGAATTCATCCCTCTCTTGCATGGCTCTTTCATACAATCCCATTAGTTTCTCATTTTCTTCATGCAAATCTGCAAGTTGATGTTCCAAATTCTCGGCCACTTTAGTCATCTCAGCCTCCTTTTCTTTGGCAAGTTCCACAAAACCACCACCATTACTGTGAGCTTCGATGCCGTCATGAGAACATTCAGAATATTTAATATTTCTGTAACTAGTCTCTGAAGTGGCCCCTTCATATAATTCAATGAGTTTATTGTTATCTTCAATCAAAACCTTAAGCTTCATACGCAGTTCATCATTTTCTTTAGACAGGATTATTGCTGTCTCATGAGCTTCAGCTTCTCTTTGACTTGCAGCACCGATGGCATCAACCATGGTTTCCAGTTCCAGTTGATCACTGAAATTCATAACGGGCACATCAGCTGAGGATGAAGGAAGCTCAACTTGATGTTTCTCTTCTTTCGTGGCTCTTGATGATCTCTCTTCTTCAAGTTTTGTCATCAAATCATTGATATTCCTGCAAAGTTGGTAAATAATGTTGAGAGTAGAAACCTAATCGCATTATACCATAGCAAATAAAAAGGAGAAAGCATAAAATAGAAGACCCAAGAATTTGCAAAAGATATGAGACCTATTTCATAAAACACAAACTCTCAATAGCCCCTCTTCACTCAGGCAAATGGAAGATATACCTTTCCAAATTCTCTTTCTCTTCAAGGCAGAGGTCCAGTTTTTTCTGGAGCGTGTCAATTTCTGATTGGTTATGAATGGCCTGTCACGAACAATTTAGAATCATGTATGAAAATCACTTCTATCAATGGAAATAAAGCTCAAAACAAACTGTTTGCATGTTTTACCTGCATACGGAGAAATTCATTCTCCTCCTTAATTGAAGACTGCCAAGGTGATGCTTGTTCCTATTCACATAGATGTAGAAGAAAAAGAAAAATCATATAGAAGAAAAAGCAACAAACACGAAAATAAAAGCAGAGAGGGTAAAACATGGTGTAACTTGAAATCCAACCACTTTTAGCGTGAAACTCAAGAACTCAAGCACCTCCAATCCAAAAAACCTAGTGTTTCTTTGAATTTGGGACACAACCATGATCATTTATTCGGGAAATATAAATCTTAATTGAAAGTTACTTTAGTTCAATGCTCTTCAAACAACACGATGCAGGTTAGATGTTAAAATTAGGTCATGGTAAAAAGTTAATTTGATGTCAGAAAATGCTCACCATGACCCTACTGTACTTTCCAGTTCAACAAGTTATTGAGACAAACAACTCTCACAGTAAGTTGTCACACATTTGGAAAGTAAATACTACTCAAAAACTGACCAACCATTATATCATTGGAAAAGTAGGAAATAAATTGCAGCGCACCTGATTGGAGATCAGCAAATTATCATCAGTTTGACCTTCCATCACCACATCCTGATTTGTATTCTATAGTACAAATGATATGAAAACTATGTCAAGATAAAATCCTTTGGAATAACTCACCTTTAAACTTTAAAACAATGCATGGAATACCTGAGCTGTCAAGCGCTCTGATTCATGCATGAGTTTCCAGTCGAGAGCTTCTAATAACTACATGTTAGTCACAAGAAGAATGTTCAGTTCAGAGGAAAAGGCAAAGGAGCAATGATTTAAGTCAAACAATTTTATACTAAGCAATTTCTTTACCTTGTTTTGTAGCACCATGATCTGTTCATTCATTATATCTCGTTCACCTTCCTCATAAAATGACTTCAACCTATAAAAATGTAAATAAGCAATATTCGATCTCAAAAAATCACACCAGTAAATTTTAGAGAAATTATTCAGCATATAAGATTAATTTAATAAAAAGCAACAAATCTATGTAGTATTTCGATGTAAAAACAGTTCTTTTTTCAAATGGATGACGTAAGTGAATGAGTGTTTCTGAAACTGATACATTTTAGTTTTCTATAGATAGAATCAAGATAACTTTATGTCAAGTTTAAAACCCTTGAAACTAGTGTATCATGATTAATTCCACTACTGTATGAGTCTCACTAGCAGGAAGAACTGTATATTGTGAAAAAGATGGCTCGCATGGCTTAATAAGAACAAAGACATGCCTTCTGATTTCCTCCTTTAGCCGCAAATTTTCCATCGCAAACCTGGTCACTTCTTGGTTACGATCAACCTGGGCTCGTAGAACCTCAATTTCTTTCAAATGCTCCTCCTTTTCTTTTAGCAAGTGTGCCTCAGCTGAGATCTTTCCACAGGCAACTGCTTCCAGCCTTTTTATTCCAGCTTCTCGAAACCGTAGCCTCATCTTTAGGCCTTGAATTTCATCCTCTCTTTGTTTTGCCTGGTTCAGCACCAGGTTTACATCCAATATTAATATTTGAATCATTTAATAACTAAAGAAAGTTAAAATTAATATTACAATGACCGAAACTAAACAAAACTTAAAACATAATGGCATGACTATAGAAGCCGTATCCAAAATCAGTTTTTGATATTGAATTAGACATCATGAAGAATAGAAAAATCTTTTTGTGAAATAATCAAGGGATCTGCAACAATACATAAAAGCCTCTAAAATACCACAAGGACAATATTTTCATACATACCAGCTGCAAAGCTGCCTGGCTTTCAGCAGCCAATGTCTCCAATGCAATGTCTTTGTCCTTTTCCCTCCGGAAAGCTCCAACAAGGGCAACTTCATAGTCTTTTTTCTGAAAATCCAATGAACTTATTTATTAACCAGAAATTTTCAGAGATACATACTTTCAAATTTTCGACTCTACAACTCAGAAAGAAAGGCTGATACCTGAGATGTCCTCTTTCCAGAAGCGAATGGACTAAATGATCCATTAGGTCCTTCCCACTTAAAAGATCCTGGAGATCTTGGAAAGCTTGCAGCTAACGTATCATTGTCCTGATTTCCATTTCCTCCATTGACTAGTCCTCGTAAGTGGGATACTTCTTTCTAGAAATAAATGAAGGTATGCATAAGATAGAATGTAAATCAATAAAAGCTATGAAATGTTCATTGTTTCAATTTAGAAGTGCTAACTTAGTAAAGTTTGTCTAATTTGAATCTAGAAAGTGACTCAAAGACACAAAGCTGCAAAATAGCCTTCCAGCAGAATCCTTGGTGTTTCATTACCCTATTCAAAATCAGCATTCAGTATAAAGTTATCTTATTCATAGTAATTATACCATGGTTATCAGTGGTTTTATGCTGGCTCCTATTAAAGTGTATGTGAAGTCATAAATTCTATAATGACTAAACCGGTGAAGCAACAAGCCCCAACCTAATCTTTCTAGAAAGATATCCAAGCAATAAGGCCAATAGTTAGCAAACACAATCTATATGACAAAATTATAGACAATGTGGTATTCCCCATAAAACAAAGAAGATCAAACATTATACCTTGAGCTGTTGAATTTGCACCCTCATGGCAATGACATCTCCAGATGCGTCTTCATTCACAATTGCCTGAGTAAACATAGCACAATAACTGACATAAACCTTTTATCCCACTAGTAAAGTAGTACCAAAATGCTCAGCCAAATCATTCCTTGATTACAATAGTAAAACTCAGTCCATTTTGAAATACAAGAAGAATGCAAATAATAAGTCATGTATTTAATGTTCTATCATCTCACTATTTACCAAAATGTTCAAAGCAGAAAAACCAATACATTAAGAGCGTGCATGCAGAAAACAAAAGAAAAAAGTATTATACATTGTTCTTAATGAATTTAGCACGCTGTGCAAACTTCAAAGTGCTCAATGTTTCCAACGAACAGCTGCAAAACCCCACATAAGACATTAAGCGTGATTGATCTTGTCATATAACATATAGAAAACCGTAAACTATAATGTACAACAACAGGAACTCTACAAGATCAAAATTAAAACATAAAACAAGGCTTCACAACCAATAACCTCTAGGAACTGCAAACATAGATAAATAACAAAGCTTATGATTACATGGTATAAACGGAAAGCATAAGTATAGCACAACAAGAAGAAGTGTAAGACAAGGAGATTTACTAACCAGCTAGAAGGACTAATATTTGCTATTATAATTGTCTTTGAATTCCCTCCTAAAGAATCCTGAAAAGGAAACAAAATGGAGTTTTCATGTTACACAGAATCAGGATTATATAAGAAATTGAGAATTTTCAAACAACTAGGCTTACACGTCCAAATTTGTAGCCCACAATACATGATGTTATCAAACATATATTTCTTCACTATACTATCTATAATACTAACCACATATAAACACAAATGAGAAATAACTGAATTTGATAGCATTGTATATAATATCACAAGATACCTGAAGCAAAAATGTAAGCTTTGAATCCCTGTATGGAACATGAAGTGACTTCCCATTCGACATGTTCACCAGATTCATAATCACTAGTCTGAAAATATAAAATTCAGTCAGCAAATGAATTGTTAATTAATTTAGCACTTGACATCAATGATAACAAAATTTGTAGGAAATTTCTTTAACCACAAAAGGCTAAAGATTAGAGGAAACATACCCCAATGTTGAAAGAGACTTGTTGATATTCGTAGCTTCCTTTAGACGCTCACCTTCAGCTCCAGAACTCTTTTGCCTGCCATGAACACATAGACAAATATCAAACTCGACACTTTCAATCACTACGGGAGCTGAATTAATGATGAAGTATTTCCCGTATTGATACTGGGAGCAATGCATAGATATGGAAAGTCATACTTCCCCAGAGATTCACACTTAATCAAAATGTGCCAAGAACTGAATAGAAAATAGCTTCTTATAGCATACATTTTCAAAGCTCGGTAGTTTACCATTATATCTCTTCCTTTCCCTTTATCACTACATATAGAGGCATGTTGAACACTCAATAACATCCTTCTATTTACTACTAACCCCTTGTAAATAAAGGGCAACCCCAAGCCAACAAGGCTCCCCGCTTTGCGGGGGGGGTGAACGTCTATCGTCCACAACCTTACCCCCCTTGCTTTGCAAAGAAGTTGTTTCCACAACTCGAACACATGACCTTTTGGTCACAAAGGGAGCAACCTTTCCAGTGCCCTAAGGCTTGCCCTACCAACCCCTTGTAAATAAAATTGAAAATTCACATTTACCTTTCAGACCCTGCTAAGTCAACAAGATTAAGCCGAGCAAAACGATGGTGAGTTACTCCTTGGCATTCCCTCTGGTAACAAAAGATCAAACAAAATTTCAAATTAACTAACACTTGAAAAGAGGAAGAAAAGTAAGCCAAGATTGTTTAAACTTCAGTAAGGAAAAGAAAATTTAAAAAAAAAAGAAAAGACTTTGCTCACTTTGCTTTCAATGATGCACGTAAATACACTATGAGAGCGACTGCTAGCATGATTCATATTAGTAGCAGCTACTTTTCTGTTAGCTGCACCCTGTAACAAAATGAAGTTTGGTAAGTAAGCAAATTCACAGTAGAAAATTAAATGCCCACAAATTTAGCATGAGATAGAGAAACTTTTCTATCAATATAAATACCACAATTAAGATTCACAGAATGACTGCAAAGCACTATTACTAATTCAAATGTTTAAAGTTTAAATGATATGAGAACATTGAGCAGAGGTCTTATATACTTGAATAAGTTGTTGGATAACATCTCGAGCACTTGTCACTTCAACCTCTTTGAGATTTTCCACATAAACTCCTTTCTTTATGTCTTCTCTGATCTGCAATATGCTCATGATATTCAGAACAAAGTCAATTATTATATATTTTTATTGATACTGTAGAACAGAAAATTCTTTGTTGTATGTGATCCATACCTGCAAGTTGTTAGATGAAGGGTCCAAAAGGTCTAGAATTTGTTCGTTGTATATTTCTAAAAAAGAACATTTACAAATAAACTTTAATTTCTCATCCCTGCCAGCCTCTTTTTCCTGGTACTCCACAATAAACAAAGAAACATGCATTAGTATCTTGCAAAGAATATTAAACATAGATAAGATTCAATGTGCAACTCCCATCTAACTTTCAGCTTAGAATAGAACTAAACGGTGGAAAGTGAGTTATGTAGGCAGCCTAATGATTGTGTCTCAATTAAATATGACTGTTTTTCAAGTTAAGTGCTTGTGTTAATTTGATTACTTGACCACTAAGGCTAGGACCGATGTAAAAAGAACAAATCCCCTCCCAAATACAAAAATAGTAAACGTCAAAAGGTTTTATATAGTGAGGGAGTAGGTCATAAGAAGCATTAAGCAAGAAGGATGCTTCTGAATGAAAAATTGCCTCATAAAAATGTTGCACTATCAAAACCAAAGCTACAAAATACCCTGGTAGTAAGTTATACCACTGGTTCTACAAGTCACACACCTTTTGAATTCTTGAGAACAAATATCCGAACACTCTAGGTGTCATCCCACAATTGACACTGTGCCTTCCAGTGCCTCCCTCAATATCTCCAAGCATTGTGTGGGTCTTTCCACTTCCAGTCTGCATAGACACAGTTAAGTCATATGAAAACATATCCTCCAATCTTCATATACTTCCAAAGACAAACTAATCACCAAGAAAATATGCACACAAACAAGAATATTTATTTTGGAAACAAAAAATGTTGAAGACTCACTTGGCCATAAGCAAACATGCAGCTATTATAGCCTATCATGCAGTTGTCCACCATTGGCAATCCGGCCACTTTGAACAGTTGCTCCTGCGCATGACAAACCTCAAATGAAGCCCACGCCCGAAGAAAGAAAAAGCGGCAAAATTGCAAAAAAAACACAGCCAAATGAGAAAACTAACCTGGCTAACATTCTCATCTGCAACAATGTCAAAAGTAAACCGCGACTCGGGATGGCCAGTCCAAGCAATTGTCTGACAGCTCTCTTGCCGAACGCATTTGCCATAGCCTTGCACTGATATTTCAGCGGTGCTAAGCGGACGAACCCGAATAATAACCTAACCAAAACAGTTTCACCCTAATCGCTTTAATTTTAAGATCAAAAGCTCCAAATATGAGTTAGAGATTTAGGAACCTCAAAACTACATCAAATTCAACACGAATCGGTGAAGCAAATTATGATTCGAAGCACAAATTAACCTTCATTTGGATTTAACAAATTAATTTCGGAAATCCATAGAACTAATGTTTCTTTGTTCAAGGTACCTGCACATTGTGGTCTTTCCAAAAGGAAGGGTCTTCATGAAACTCGAAGCTCTGGTTTGAGGAAGTCGGGGCGGCACTGGCTTTTCCGTCGACATCGTCGTCGTCCCAGTCTCCGATGCTCCGCACCGCCGAGAAGCTCTCTTTGGACGCGGATTTGTGGAGATTCGGAGTGCTCGAGGAGTGGTCGTGGAACCCGAAGCGGCTTCTGATGGCGCTGGCTGTGTCCGATATGAACGGCATTTCGGGTCGGATCGAAGTGAGTGGTTCGGGTCAGAGAGTGGGAGATGAGCAGATGGGAGAAGTCGATTTGAATTTGGGGGGGACTGGTTAGGGTGGAAGTGAATTTGAATTTGGGAAAGGCGATGGGGCGGGTAAGGGAAATCTGTGATCGGACGGTGATTACTGGTTTTGATGAACGGTCGGGATGATTTCAATTTAAAGATTTGGACCGTTTGAAATCTGGATTCAAAATGTTCACGGAGCCGGGTTTTTTTATTCTTCGCTTCGCACAATACTCTAGAATTAAGGTGATCTTATTTTTTTTAAAGAAAAGGTGATCATATAGTGATTGATTAATTAATTAGATGGAAAATTAATCATGTCTCTGTAAAATGGGTATCGAAATCATTTCAAAACTGGATGGATACATAGTTCTTAACTGTTGTTTGACAAAAAAAAAAATAGATCTTAACTGTTGAGTTTATTTTAGGGAACTTTAACGAAAAGCTCTTGGTACTGTTCACTTTAACGAAAAACCACATTTTTACACTAAAAAGTCAATCCTGATACTATTCACTTTACCCTTTATTTTGTCCTTATCATTAAAACTCAAAGTTTTCAAGCCATTTTCATTAGTTTTCCTTTTATTTTAACCTTAAAGTGCAAAAGTGGTCCGAGATATACACACATTTTTATTTACGTTTCACATACTCTTTTAATTTTAGGTCAAGAATCGAATGAATTGAAGAATATCAAATGACAGAAAATAACAAAGAGTGAAAAAGATAAAAAAATTGTGTGTGGATAGCACATCGGACATTATCAGATTATTGAGTGAGTTGGTGAAGTTGCTTACCGACTTGATCTACCTCCAAAGTTGTCAAGAGTGCATAATGTGTTCCACGTGTCCATGCTTTGGAGATACGTCTCTGATCCATCACATGTGATTCCTGATCAGCCGTTAGAGATTAACCTAGATTTGACTATGATGAGGTTCCAGTGACGATTCTTGACTAGAAAGACAAAGTTCTCAGGAACAAAAATGTTCCTATGGTGAAAGTTTTATGGCGAAACCACTTTGTTGAGGAAGCTACTTGGGAGACAGAGGAGCGTATGCAAGATCTTTATCCATGTTTGTTCTTTGACTGATCTTTAGTAGCGTTGAAATTTCGAGGACGAAATTTTCTTAAGGGGGTAGATTGTGACGACCTGTCCCTAATTTTCTATGTAATTTTCTCCCCGAGTGTGTAAATTGAAGTTTATGCCCTTTTGGGCAACGTGGACGTAGTTATTTGTCTTTAAATTATTTTTCTCGTTATCGTAAGTAAATAGTACTCGTCGTTATAAGTGAGTGAGCGCTAGCCAGATCCGAATCGAAGTCGTAATGAAAAGTTACGTTTAGTTAAAGTACGTAAACAACAGGTATAATTGTACATGTGTGCGCTAATTATTTAGTACTGGAAACTACGATTTTTTTATAGGGTATGCTAGATTTCGTCTGATTTCAAATTGTACAAAACTTATCTCTTTTCTCTTTAAAATTTGATCCGTGCCCTACTCTACCTCACCACCAATCAATTACTTTCCCACATTTTCTCACCCAATCAAACAACACCCTCTCTCTTCTTTCCATCCAATTAGAAACTTCTTTCTCTCTTCTTCTTCTTCTTCTCTCACCCCTTAGCTCTCTTCTTTCCTCTGCAACACCAAGGATCACCATCAAACTTCATAGATTGAGCCTAAAATTATCACCATCGAGATCCTCTCATCCTCACGAACCCATTCGTACCAATTGATCCTAAAATAATCGAGTTTTGAGGGTCCAACTCGGAGCTCCGACTCGGGTGGAGTTTTCCCCGACATTTTTCTAATCGAGTTACAAGATTTTGAGAGTTTTGGAAGCATCTAGGCAACTCCCCGAGGCCATTAGCCTAGTTGTGAAGTGGAGCTGACGAGAAAACCCACGGGTTTGAGACAATGAAAATAGGATCGAGAGTCTTAAGCCTATTTTGATCCATTTCTATTCACCTTTTGGACTTTTAAGAGGTACAATCTTGTTCTCTTCTTCTCCAGCTTCATTTCCATATAAAGTACGTTGAAAATGGTTGAGAAATGAAGAAGATATAAAGTTTTAAAAATTTCCCAAAAATCCGACGAATTTTTCCAAAAACTGGCGAACCAAATAGCGGAGGTCAACCGGACCACCAACTGGCGTGTGCTTGACGTGTACAGGTCCGTGACATCGAGTAGAATGTTTTCGTATATTTAAACCCTCCGTTTGAGCAAACTATGGGGGATTTTCCTAGCCTTTTTGTGTAGGTCCTAATTAATTAACTAGTAAAGTTATTTCACATATAGGTGAGACTTACCCCAAGAAGGTATGAGGACAAACAAGGCTAGGAGGCTACAATCCATCGACGTATCAGTGAGTGGACATTTGCTTATATATATAAAGTTTGATGGTTTTCACAAGTGCTTTTGGTTTGATTTACACCTATCATGCCATGTTTTATTTAATTTTAAAAATACTATTATGACGTTGAGATTTATATATTGTCATGGCATGTTCATACACTTTATATTTGCTCATTATGCATGCTTGCACTGGTGTAGTACTCGCCCCAGCCAGGGCCAAGTTTCACATGTATGTTCACATCACACCACATGCTCACCTTGGATCCATTGTAGGTGCCAGTCTTGTCGTCCAGGTTGCAATAGGCAACTTCGACTCGTATGTAATGCGCCTAGTGCCAGTCTTCACATTATTGTAGTACTAGAGCATATGTTATGATTACACCCAGTCATGTTCATGTCAGATTCCCTCTGCATGAACTCGTGTATTAGCATAGATTGATGAACACTTGATTTTACTTATGCTATTGTTGAGATATTATGATTGGAGTATTTTTGGATTTACTGTTGATTTGCATTTGATTTCATACTTATACGTAGTATGATTTTCTGGAAACTATACAAGTTTTACAGCAAGGGGTTAGTATGTTCAGAAAATAAATGTGTTTATAAACCCTTGTTTTTGCCCACTCGCCCTTCTGTTTTTCGCCCCTCCAAATCCTAGTTAGCTTATTACTCTGTGGCGTACAAGGAATATCTTGCGATTCTGACATATCCATAAATAATTGTAGGGGCTTTTCCTGGTTGTGTATTAAGCACTTTAACTAGTTTCGACTGAACACTTTTATGTCATCTATACTCTGAACACTTGTGTTTTATGGGTTCTTCCCACTACTACGCACTCCCTACTTTAGATTAAATAAATGTTAGCTTTGGTTTAAATTTTATCCATACTTCATGCTTCACTTTCCTTTTTGGTTACGTCACATTCGGGTGACGGCCAGCATGCCTTGACTCCGATCAGGGTGTGTCAGACAGAGTGAGTGGTGCTTGAATTTTTTTTTTTTTGAAACTTCAAATTGACTTCTTACCATTGTAATAATGAGGTGGTGTAAATACAAGAACAAGGAGGAATCGATTATTTTAAAAGGCATTATAGTGTGAGAGGATGTCCGCAACATTGTTAGGGTTAAACTACCTAATCATGGAAGCAAGTGAATGCTAAATAAGGAATTGCTAACCTTCACAAAAAAGAGAATGCTCATCAACATGATTCAAAAGTTTTTTAACAAAGCATCATGATTTGGAATAAAATTCTAAATCTATTGAGTTGAATCATGAGTTGATCACTAAGGCAATTGAAAATGAAATAACCTAATCAATATGATTAAGAGCATTGTATTATAGAATGAACATATTGCATTGTAATTGCAACGGAATACGTTTTTTCCTAAATACTACATTGACTAGGGGACCATAACATGCGACTAGGTTTCTTGCATGGTCTATGAGATCTTTGAAGAGAATCATTGTTGTCTTCACAAAGAGGTGGGTTGAAAGATGAGTTTTAGGGGGTGTAGTCAATTTGGATTTCAGACAATTTTAATGGATTTTCTTTAGGTGATAGATTTTAAAGGATTTTAAAGGATTTTAATAGATTTTATGATTCCATATAGATTTTGACATATTTATAAGAATTTCTATTATTAATTTGTATGGATTCCTTCTTGGATTTCCTAAGATTTTGAAAAAATTGAGATTGATACACAAAGTAGTAGGATCATTTTTAAAATCCTCCGGCTGGGATTAACCACTCCAACTTTCAGTTGGGTTTCTGAACTGAAATTAAAAAATAAGAATCACCAAGGGAATTATTATTAATGTGATTAAAAGTTAATGATTTATATCCTTTTATTTTGCTTCTTATTTTTATTTATCTAATATTTTTTTTCTATAACTTGATTTATATAAATATATGAATTAAGCCCTGTAATCAATTAATTTGTTCAAAATTTGGAACATTTGAGGCTGGCACTATCAAATAGTGATCAATTCTGTACTCTCAGTTTTTGGGTGGAGGTGTTTTAACCAACTAGGGTTTGGAGCATTTAGATTTTCCAACTTTTGTGGCTTGAATTGTGGTTATACAGCAACCGGGGCACTGCTGATGTTACTACTCTTGTATTGGAACTATGGTCTAAAATATCCATAATATCTCGATATTTTCATCGAAATTTCTATGTTTTTGGACTACCGATATTTTTTTGGACTACCAATATTTCCGATATCATCGATATTTTAGACCTTACTAAGTCACTCATGTATCTTACCATGCAATGTAAAAAGTGTAACATATTGTACTAATTCATTATATATAAATGATTATGGTGTGTTTAAACTTCTTTCATTAATTACTACATATTTTCTACACTCACAATATTTGCCAGCTCGCTATATAATCAACTTAAATCAGTTATATCTATCATGCAATGCATTTCCTTCCAATTTTTTGTGATAAACTAATAGATAATTGACTAAATAAATATCCTGCAAAGTTTCAATAAAAATTTCCAAGTTTTTCTTACAATTTCCGTGGTTTTTATTCAATTTTTATTGATATCGATAATATCCCGATATTTCCAACGAAATTTTCGTGTTTTTGAACTACCGATATTTCCGATATCATCGATATTTTATACCTTGATTGGAACCAACGCAGGCACGCTATGAATTGAAGCTCTTCAACCACTGGAGCTTCGATGATATCTGGGTTTCTTGCTATTTTGCTTAAATTTCGTATCTTTG